AAAAAAAAAAAAAAGAAGAATTTTAACAAAGGGTATTTTTTTGTCCTGTACATGGCTCTTGTAAAATCTTCCACAAGTCCTCAAATCAAGCAAGCAGTACAAATAGTGAAGATCAGCACATGGCATAGAAGTGCATTAATCATCGTGAGACATAGTCATGTACAAAGGAAGATTTGATTGAGATACAATCATGATTTTCACATACTTGAATACACTTCAGTTTTTATACAGAGCATATTAAGTACTTTAATTGAGTACAAATATTGCTGTACTTACTGTCCGCCTATGAGGCGCCCTTAGACTTTGATACCCATCGTCTACATCACCTCGCTAGAAAATAATTGTTTATTCCAATCAAGTAGTCAGTTTTCACAAGTAAAATGTCAAGTTAAGGAAACCCCTCAGCTCAATTTGATTCAAACTATGAATATCCAGTCCGAAATAAGTAGCCTTTAACTTAAGATTGCAATGCATTATCATTTTGAAAAATACATTTTTGACCAAGGAAAAAAACATTGAAGTACTCTCTCACCACATTATCCAGCTCCATGTTGTTTGAATGATTATCGTGAGGTTTTTCTGAAACATCGAAATTTATGCATGGTTATTTAGGAATAAATTTTGAAAAAAAAACATTTTAAAATAGTTTCAATAAAAAATGTGTTACGCTTACTGCTTGCAGATTTCCTTCTCCTGACAACGATCAGCACAACAGCGACAACAGCCAAAAGCACAACTCCACATACCGTCACGGCAATAATGATGATAGTCGTAGTGTTGTCTCCACCTCCTGTATAAAAAAAGAAGCAGAAAGAAATGTGGAATTGGGAATGAGCGAACATTTAAAATACCCAATTAACAAAGTAAATGAAGATATGTCTCAAAAGTCTCATTGTAAACAATGTTTAAGAACCTAACAATATAATGTGTCACTGTCCCGTACAAATTAAAGGATAGAGTTATACATATGTTTGACAGTCCTAAACCTCACCAGTAGGAGGAGTATCCCCAATGCTGGCCTTACTGCTGTCCACAGTCCAGCTTCCCAACTGGTTATCAGCAAGGCTTCTGGTGAAGGCTGTCTGGGCAGATTCTGACTCGGATTCTCCCACTACTGACTGGAAAGCTGCCACCACACTGCCTTCACTGGAACAAAAATTGCACTCATGTCAACTTCTGAATATTTTAATAAGTACATTCAATAAAAGAACTTTAAGTTAGTAGAGGGATGTAGCAATGCTCAAGTATAAAGTTACATTTCTTTAAGGCATAATGAATTATATACTTGGAACAATGCACAATACACTTTGCTACAGTAATGTAACGGTGACATGGAACAAAATGACAAACCCAGCTTACCTGTATCCAGTGACAGTTGATTTCTCATAGCCAAGAATGTCGTCAAACACACGGTCCAGCTTTAAAGTAACGCAATAAATGAACATGTAGTGTAGACACTGAAATAGTGTCAAAAATTGAAAATGTTTCATACTCTTTTAATAATGATGTATACAAATAATCTTACAATGGATATCATAGACAATGTACATGTAAAATGCCTACCTCATTGATGATTCTATTTGTCAGCTGAACTGCTGTTGTTGACTGAAGATCCCTCAGCTCATTACTGAATGTTTCAGTTGTGAGGGGCAGGGACCCATATAAGATCTTTGGTCCTGAAATTTGGAAACTCTGGTTATAGTTTTAATCAAGTATTGTGATGATAAATGATCATAGGAACTAATAAAAAGACACACAGGAAAAAAACGTGACCTACAACCTGGTACAGTAACTATACTGACAAACCTTCTGTAGTCAAAGACACCACATTAGACGCTGCAGTTCCGTTCCTGTTGGTAGCTCTGACCCGGATGTCATATGTTGCCTTCTCTGGGAGCTGGAAGGTCACACTGAACTGAGGATGGTCCGCACTCGCTGGTTCAAGTTTCTCAGGCCCATCTTGCCATGCACTTGCCCTTGTCCTGTACTGTACAGTGTGTGTTGTTTCCTGCCCACCATTAAACCCAGCTGTCCACTCTACAGTCACAAAACGGCTGGAGTTCTTCATGGTCACTGTCAGGTCTGTTGAGGGCTCAGGGGCACCTGGGGAAAATACTAGCAGGATTCATTTTTGAGAAGGTAATAAAAAGGTAAAAAAGGAACACCTGCATTTGGAACAGATATCTTTGTTCAAGTATGTTTCTTGTAGTTAAAAGTACATGCCACATATCATAAGCTTTGAAAGAACTTTGCATAAATTCTTGTTTATAGTTGGATATATTGGTATTCAAATTGTTTAATTGAGATGGGCTCTGATTGTACATGTAGAATAAACTAAAACCTACTTTCAGCTGTCAGTTCAATGACAGTACTATTGTTGCCCATGATGTTCCTAGCTGTACAGTTGTAGAATCCGTAGTCATCCTCTGTCACTGTTGTGTAGCTCAGTGTGCTGCCCAGACTGTAATTTGTGATGGTAGCATTGCCTGAAACACTCCCACCATCTTTAGCCCACGTAAACGTCACAGGTGTTGGGTAGGCTGTGACGTTACATGTCAAGGTCACGGGTTCACCCTTCGCAACGGCGTATTTGTCTCGGACTCCAACAAAAACAGGAATGTCTGTGAGAATGAAGAATAAACTTACTAATTATGGTTTTCATCTTTTCCCCAACAGAGGACACATTCATTCACTAAAAAAAAAGAAATTTTACAATGTAAAGAAAATCTAAACGTCTACAACAAAATGAGAAAATACTCACAGTTGACCAGAAGCTCCATGTCCCGTGTAGCATTTTCCCCGATCCCGTTGACAGCCTGACATCTGTATGTTCCTGTGTCCGTGTAGCTCACAGTCTGTATGGTGTGGGACAGACTCTTCACATCCTGACCTGTGGCCAGAGTGATGTCACCTACAGACCCTGTCCCCACCCTCACTATGCTGACAGAAGTCGGTTCAGGGTTGCTGTCCACAGTACAGGTCAGGGTGACAGGGCTGTTCTCATCTGCTGGGATGGAGTCAGCAGTGAAGGTGGACACGGTTGGAGGGTCTGAGGGGGTTAGCAAGAGCGATACATAAATATTATATCATGCTTTGTAAGTTGCGATAACCTTAATTTTCAAACTTCAGCCAGATTACACCAGAGCATCTAATGTAACGTCTTTGATCAATTTGATTTTAAGAAAAGCTCAGTGTGAAAGTCCTGAAAAAGAATTTTAGGCCCTGCACCATATTGCACTTCACCTCCGTTTCTCGTACATAACTTCATGTGTGTACCAGATATGTGTAGAAAGACTGAGATATAGAACTTCATACAACAATCATAACATGATACATTTGAAGCTCACTTTTCCACAAGCTAACAACATACATTAGCTAGAAAACAGATGGAACGGATGATATTCAGTATACTCACTGGAGAACAAGTAGTAAACCCAGTCATCAGTAAACAATCTTGAATACCAAGACTGGAAGTTGACAATAAGGTACAGAAGAAACACATTTTACAGCTGCAGGTAAAATACTTAAGGGTTAATGTCCCGTCCCGAGGTGAATATGGTGTGATAAAGCCTTGTCAGTTGCTATAACCCGAATAAAGGCACCGAGTGCCTTAAAGTAACACCCATAAATAGACAACAACATCAGCATAGTTCTATACATTCCTATACGTACTAAATCAGAGAGATAGCTAAGAATGAGCTCACAGTTGACGACCAGCTCTGTCGTGTTGCTGTCCGTTGACCCCACATCGTTAGTGGCCGTGCATCTGTACTGCCCGGCCTGTGCGCGCTGGACATTAGTTATTGTCAGTGTCCCTCCGCTGTCAGCTGTTGTCCCAAAGTTGACGTCCTGTTCAGGCTGTCCCTGTGCCGTGAACTTCCACGTGTAGGTTGGGTCTGGCACAGCGCTGGTAGACCGGCAGGTCAGGGTCACAGTTTGGTTCTCCACTACTGGGCTGGGGGCGATGGTCAGGCTGGGTTTGGACGGTGCATCTGGCGGATAGCATAAAACAATTATGTAAAACTAGAAAGAAATGTACTATTCATCAAAAAGATGTAGAATTTTTCAATCATAACACAATCTAAAAAGGAGAAACCAAGGACTTACACTGCACAATGACAACAGTCGACGCTGTCCCAGTTCCAATGCTGTCATCATGCAGCATGTTACGTGCTGTACACACGTAGGTACCAGCTGCCCCCCTCTGGATCCTTGTGATGGACAGCGTAGCGCTGTTGGACACAGCTGAGGTGCTGCCCTGTTTCTTCCACTCCACACTGGTGACAGCAGGGTTAGCCGTGACAGTACACTCGGCAGCCAGGTCATGGTTCTCCTCTACTGTCACAGTCACAGGAGCCGACACGTCTGGGGGGTCTGGGCGGGGACAATATTATCAAAGTAAGTCTGGGAAAGTGAAACTTGTATCTTACTTCATGTGTATAATGTATTAAAGCAATAGTCTCACAATAAGCCAAACTTACGTTGGACGTCGAGTGTTGTAGACGCCGTGTCCGCACTGCCGATGTTGTTGGTGACGTCACATGAGAAAACTGTGTCATGTTGTTCCCTCCGTACAGCACTGATCGTCAGCACACCGCCGTTCTGACTAAACTGGTCCTCAGCATCAGTGTTAATGGTCCTCCCTCCCTCCTTCCAGGTGTAGGTGAAGGTGTCAGGGTTGCCGTCAGCAGGGCAGGAGAAGCTTGCCGACTGCCCGGCTATGACTGTGGTGGTCGCCGGAGGGGTTGGGCTGATTTCTGCTGGGTCTGGGATTGGATAAACATGTCAGATGGTGGCAGAATGGTACAGAAGTCTCAGCATAGAAGATGTTAGGTAAAATATTGCATAATCAGAATTTTCTTGCTACAATGATGTGTAAATTGTCTATTTGTTTATGTAGAAACAATCTGCAGATGTGTACCACACAAACTCACATCTGACATTGTGAGTGGTCTTTGCCTCCAGGTGAAATAATGTAAAATCTGAACTTTCTTGTTACAATGATGTGTAAATTTGTTTTTGTAAACGCACTCAAACTCACATCTGACATTGAAAGTGGTCTGTGTCTCCAGGTTACTCTGCAGCACAGTCTGACTGACGACACATCTGTAGGACACGCCGCTGTCGTCTTTAGTCGGAGTGAAGATGTACTGTCGTGATGACGTCACACTGCCATCAGACTGTTCCACGTCAGTCTGCTGCTCAGCCTCCGCAGTCCTGTTCTCCTGACCTCGGTACCAGCTGATGGTGGCAGGGGGGTAGCCTCCGGCCGTGGTGCAGGTCAGCGTCAGGGGGGACTCCGTACTGGGGGTCCCGGAGGGGGAGATGGTCGGGGGGCCGGCAGGTGCTTGGAGGGGGGGGGGCAAAAGTAGGAAACATATAGGAAACAAATGTAGTTCATACTTAATGCATTATGTTTCGTAACTATTACTGCATAGAATGATGTCTGCATAGAATTTATTTTGTAAATGTGTGATTCACGATATCATAATTAATGTCTTCTGACTACAATTTAAAAGTACAATTTACCATTTAAACTACTTGAAAAGTATGAAACACGATGGGATTTAAGGGGGAAAACTTCATAACTCAACATTTAAGAATTTAGATTTATCAAATCAATTTATTTCATGAATTGTTGAATCCATCTGTCGTTGTTGGTAAGATAGTATGGAGAGGTGAAGAGAAGCTTCCTTATATGTAGACCTCACGTGAAAATCCTCTTCCAGGATGAGACAACGAGGTCATACAGATGATCAAAATGTTATCGTGAACGAGCAATAAACAGGCAGAGTCTGCTGATTTACGGTTCCTACTCAGTCCTAGATCATCATAAAATATATTTTTACTCTTTTAATTTATATTTTTATTTTCCTTCCTGATAATATTTGAGATACTACAACCCTTCTAGACTAAAATAAAGTTGATTTCAAGATTTCAACCCTCTACCTGACTGTGGTCCCATTATCTAGGCGCCAAACAATTATTAAATTTCTGATTCATACTTAAATTTCCTCACCTGCTACAGAAAAGACCACAGATTCTGGCCCCACCATTGTAGGTGTACCTGCAGTCAGCACAGTAACCTCACAGAAGAACTCTCCTCTGTCACTCAGCCTGGTGTTCTGTATCCGCAGACTTGCCCGACCCTCAATGTCGATGTCTCTGTCTCTGTACTCGTTATAACGGCCGTCAGTAATGGGCCCTTGACCTTGTGCCAGTACAGCTGTACTTGCATGAAAAGCACCGCCTTTAGACCAGGACACTGCTGCCTGCTGGTCAGGATCAATGACACAACTGATGATGGCCTGCTGTCCCACAAGGACGCCTTGAGGTGCCGTTACTGTGAGGCTCACGTCGGCATAAGTAACTGTAAAATTAATCAAAACGTAGGGTACACACATCTATTGTCGCATTTTTTAAATGATTTACTTATGATTCATGATTTATTACTTCGTTTCTCTTTCCGCATGTATCGTATGACACAGTTGCGCAAGTTTTTGAGTATTCAAGTTATATATTATGCAAAAAATTGCCCGGTTAAATAATGGGGTCGCTATTGTTCGTGTCCTTTTTTAACGGTTATACGTGTCTGTTAGAAATCTTAAAATAGTTATATAGTGACTATCGCAGCCCCTAGAGATTAGAATCAAAAGTTAGAAAATACTAATATTGGTAGACTGTCTGAACACCTGACTGTATGTAAATCTTGTAGCTACAAACGTGTCTTACCTGGATAGAACGACAACACAGAGAGTGATGTCAACACTACGAGTAGATATCGCACGTTTTTATCTGTGTTCGTGGCATAACATGCGGTAGTCATTGCGTTTGGACAAAACTCAGCTGGTTCACTATACTGAAAACTCGCTGTTAAAGACCCCAGCTTACTTCCGGGTAGTTTATTTGCCCTCTCCGATTCGGTGTACTGATCTGAGGTGCGTCACCTTCATAAAGAACTGGGAACTAGAGATTTTGGCAATTGTCAGGGAAATTAAATCCCTTTCTTGAAGTCGATGATGTCGTCATTGTTTTGACAATATTCTCATATGTTTTCATAAGCTGAGCTCAGCCGCTCATTTGTAGCCGCATGCATTACTACTGAGTCACTTTATGACTTAATAGGTTACGAATATGCAAATACCTACCCCAGGACGTCATAAAACTGTTAACTTCAGAACCTATCCCGACCTGGAAACGTCCAAGGGGTCGCCGGCCCAATGGCAAGATGGGAAGACCATATCTTCCATACACTTTAGGAGCGACTGGAGGGTCTGTGCTGGAAACAGAACAGCTTGGCGGGACCTGCGCATGACTGGCCGTCATGCATCAGAACTTGATGCCTGCGGTTGATCCATATTTGGATGGGATCAATCTAAATATAAGGCGTCATCTGCGATCATGTAATTGATTATATATTCTATAATCTTTCATGCAGTTGGGATAGGACTCTTGTCAATCAATCGAGGCAGGATCCTCCCAAACAATGAGTCGTTGAGGGCAGAGCACTTAAAATCAACAGTAAACCAACAATGAAAGAAGTAGTGATATCATTCTTTTCATTATAGCCATCTATTTATCATCAGTATCCAGCGAGGACATCTACAGGCTACTGATAGAAACTTTAATTTTATTTCGAAACTGTTTTTTATACTCAAGATCTAGATAAAATATTTAAGAATCCAAGAAACTACAGCGACCAATCTAGACTGACAGTTTTCATCATCCGTCGTCCCTGTCGGGTGGGGTTAACTGCTCAGTTTTGGCTTCGTTGAAGTACAGACCAACATAGGAAGCTGCTTTCTCAAGAGATTGCAGAGTGATTCTGTGTCTTTCACCAACTGGGCTGCCTAGGCCAAATCATCAGCCAAATCTAGATCTGTGAGATTGACTACTGGGTAACGGCGACTCCTTTTAGTCTGGACTTCGATACCTTTTTCTTGCATACTGTCAAGTGATAGTCGTAAAATGTAGTCTAGTACGATTATGAAAAGGAACGGGGCTAATTGGTTTTACGTAATATAGCTGGTTGGTCAAGAGCATTTGATGATCGGTCAAGACTGCACAAGAGGGCTGGGCCCATTTGTGAATTATCATCTTCTGGGTATACAAATAGGTACTACTATCATTGCTTTCTTATGCGATGAAGCTGAAATTGGATTGGTCCTAGTATCCTAATACGACACACAAGCGAACTGTAAATACCTACAATGTATAGTATAAAATTAACACAACGGATACATTGTAATTACTTACGCAATTCAGACGTAAGTCTGCAAAGTGGTATCTCAATATAGTTTAAAAGTTAAACTGCATTCCGTGGGAAACAGAACACTATGCTGGTCACGTGTTCCAGACAGTTTGGTAGTTGTTATTGTACGACCACAACTTTTCATTTTTAGAACCTATTCATGAGATGCCGATATGAATATCAAATGCTATTCATCACATTAAAATATCAGTACTTAAAATATCACTGTCTGAAAAAAACATACAAACCATTAAGGAACAGTCTTCTTTTAATGCAAACACAATGCAAACAGCAAAATATTGAATTTCCATATGAAAAGATATACAAAATCTTTGTAACAATCATACAAATATACAATTGTAATTACTTCAGTGATAGTACTGCTGCATACTATACTTGTCATGCTCAGACGATAGACACAAACAAAGCATCGTTATAATAGACTTTCAAATAGTCTTGGAATTCAAAGTATTCTCCAAATCAGATTTCAGAATATCATGAAACTACAACCATAACAACTACAACCAATTAAAACTACAACCAAGCAAATTGAAAACCTTCTTGGCCAATCAGTGTTGAATATTTATTTACCACAAAAACTTAGTTACCAAACGTTTTACACATACAAATCTGAAGCAAAATTGTCATAGAAAAAAAGTGATGAAAATAAATTAAATTGCAAATGTACATTTTAGCAGTCATTAAAAAAATTAAATCACAATGTAAAAACGACACCTAGTTATAGAATTAGCTTCCATAATAAAAATCGCTAATATTTACAGCCACATAAACTTTTTCCATTTATATTACATTAATTGAACATTTACATATCACACAGTACATTCATCACAATAAAATCCAGTCCATTTACGAGTATATGTGCCTGTTTATATTCTCATTAAGTATGTCATGCGTATCAAGTTAAGTGAAGAGTATACAACAGTTATGAATTTGTCAAAGCACGCTGATTAACTCAGCACGCTGCCCCAACACACACATATTCTACAATGCCTCAATTGCCCCTAAAATACGTTTCCCGGAACAAACGACAAGAATTGTGTTGTCTTGGGGATGTGAAGACAATTGATGCATGATATTAAACTTGTTCATCAGCATTCTTAGGGAGTTGGGCATCTTTTTCAGATGTGTTCTTCTTCCTGTAGAATATTTCAGAAAACCAACAGAACAACTGAAGTCACATAACTTCATAGAGTTTCCTGTATCATATTCGTGTTGCTATGGTATGTACACGACATGTATAATGTACATTTATGCAGAGCCAGTAGGGTGGTGGTAAGACCTATACCATTATCTGAACTCGTCATCACTCACATCCACTTCATAAGCACCTTGATGAATTGAGATATGGTTCAAAAACTGCGAAGAGGATTTGCAAGAAAATGATGATGATGAAAGATGCATGAAGATAAAATGGCATGTTTGCTACTCCTAAACGCACACAGAGTAACTTGTTAATGGCCAAACCTTTTCTTTCCTTTTTTCTTTTTTTGTTTTGGAAGAGGATCAAGCTGTAGTGGTCGTAGCATGCGAGGATTTCCATGCATTGGGTAAGAGAGAGTGTCTGGAGTCACCTCATTATTGGTAGGCTCCACATGTTCCGGAGCAGGTGTTGACTGTGGTTCAAGCTTGACATTCTGTTGTGACCTGCATGGTTTATTTGAAAAAATACATGATCATAATTGTTTCTCTTTTGATAATACTGTACATACAATATAATGTAGTCAATGAATATACCAGGCACATGAACATGAAAATAATTGTTGTATTTTGTTATGTTTAATATTCATTTTGACAGTATTCAAATAAAGGGCTGACACATCAGATAATATGTAGAGATGTTTGCAAAATACTTTGAATCTTTAAAATTTGTGTTTTCATATCTTTCATGGAGCCTTCATAATGTGTAGCATAAATGTAAAAAGATCAAATAACAAAGAATTTAAAATCTGTTATGGTCTCAATGCTCACCTGGGTTCACTCATATCACCATTTGAAACTGGAAGATAGAAAATAAACGTTCAGATCTTTCCAAAATCAAAACTGATATAATTATATAAAGGACAGAGCGAAAGAGCTATAGATTTAGTCATCAATAAATACATAAACTGCAATTCCAGTTGTGCTTTGTAAAACGACTTCAGTTCCTGCATAATGTAACCTATAGTAGAATTGCAGCATTTATTTCATAATCATATACCATCAAGTAATACTTTGCTTTCTAATATCATATAAGGAAATATATGAAGATATCTATTCGCCCCTTTGGCATGTCTTATTGTGAGGTTGAATTTTATCAAGTACACGCACGCGCACACACACATCCAAACATGCTAAGTGCTAACAAAAGATGGGACTTTTACTTTATCTATTACCAAATATGTCGAATAACTAAGGACTTTAGTGATGTTTTGTAATTTATGCCTACCTCCTATAGCTGAAATTGGCTTGGAAAGGGTATGATTCTATCTAAATATTTTTGTTGTTACAGTATGTGACAAAATATATATTTAAATATATAAATATATGCCAGTTGCAAGGATGAGATATCCAATGAAAACCACAATGAAAGCATCAAGAACAAGTTGTGACAAGAGGATACAGTCATCAGTTTCAGAACTTATTATCATTTATGCACCACAGCAACATTACGATGGACCAAAGCTTGATTTAGGCAGGTATAATAAACCCAACAGTTACGTCAACAAGCAAAAACAATATATTTCACTCTCTCAGGCTAAAGTAAAAAATCAAAGAAGTATGTTATAGCTAAAACTTTTCATGATAAATGTCTATGAAACAAAATATGATGTTCCACAATGTCATATCTTTGCCAAAGATTGTTAACCTTTATGTCTTAGTCAGAAATATTTTAAAATGATTTGTTCATCATTGATAATGCAATGAAAGTCCTCATTTATATACAATGTAATGTCGCCTGACACCTTTTTCTACCCAATGAGCTCAACTAGTCCAAAATCTATAAGTTTGATATTAACGAAGGTTACTAATAGTATTTTTCATCTTTTATGTAAATGACCTGATTAACAAAATATAAGATTCTGCTTAATTTTAATTTTCTTAGTTACATGTCACATATTTGAAAGTCATATCATGGGTAGTCAACACAAATTTATAAACAGACAACCCATTTTCATGATATATTACATGATCATAAAAACTTAAGAAACCACAGCACAATCACATGAGCATCACATTAAAATCACAAAGGATCTACCTTCTCAAATCCAGAACAAATGCTCAGGAGTCAGAAAAGGAGGACTCTATAAGCCTCACATGTAAGTGAAATGTTTGAAAGTGTAAGGGTACCAACTACCAAGAAATCTTGAATCTCATAAATCCTCTGCACAAGTATATTGTATTCTTTATGTCATGTAGTTGTTCTTTCTAGTTGGTAGAGTTACTATTTTCTTGTTTACAAGCATATCATATAGGTTTGTCCATGTGGTAATGTGCTACAGGGAGAATATCTACAAAGAAAATTCTCAGTAAAGCTGATTGTGGATCTAAATAAACTGAAACTCAAATGGACTCAA